AGTGCTCTGTGCACTAATTAGTCCTTAGGACTAATGCACAGAGATACAGGGTCTGTGGTCCACAGAACTGTCAGGAAAGACAGCCCAGCCTCTGATGCCTGGGCCTGTTCTGTCCATGGAGCTGAGTCAGTTCAGAGCCTGGGCCTTAAATCAAGGAGAGAGACTGAAAACTAGAATATGCAAATTACTATCTGGAAAGAAAAGGAGTTTTTGGAGAGGAAGGGCATGGCCTATTCCAGGACTCCTGCCTGGGCCCTCTGGAAAGAATTGGCCAGACTCAGGCCCAAGACCAAGCACCTTCCCCAGCTGCAGGTCTGCACACAGCAGCTGTCCCTTTCTCGCCCCACCTCTGTTAGCTCTCCCCACTGTCTCACAGCCCATCTGCTTCAGGCTGCTGCTGCTGCTTTTACAACTCCATCAGCTTGTTTCTCTTCAGACACTCCAGATGGTTAATGCCTTTCCGCTGTATCAAAATGCCCCATTAGATAGGGATGGAATCATGAGGGGACCCGACCCCCTCCCCAGAGAGTTGGGGAGGGCAGCCAAGCATCACCTCCACCCTCAGGGCGGTGGGTCTCTATTCCCTGGAATAATGGGGTCTCAGTGCAGCCTCCTCAGAAGGCAGACATGTGGTCAGAATACTCTGGCCTACTTGTGACCCTTGCAGAAGCCCCCTGCCCCAACCCCTGACCTCTGTTTTCCTATCTGGATAGTATGCCAAGGGTTCGTTCCCGACCTACTCCCACAGCACCTGGTACATCTCCCCTGTCACTGCCCCCTCTCTGCCTCTTATCTCAGTCTCCCCCACCAGCCTGCGCTCTTCTCAAAGTGAGCACTGGGGTCAATTCCTCTCAGTGCCACCCACACCCAGCATCCAAAAAAGACTGCTGAATCGGCCCCCTAGGTTGGCTGTTGGGAAAGCATCATGTTGGAAGTGGAGATGGTACATTCCCTGCTTTCTAAAACCTTAAAGAGAAGGTGTAGAATGCAAGACTTCAAGTTGAAGGAGACACTAGAGGCTGTGAGATTAGTGGCTAGGGCGGCTCTGTAAGAGCCCTCAGGGAGGGTGCTCAGTGACAGACTCCACATTTGCCCTGACCTCCAAGAAAGTTTCAGAGGAGGCCGGGGTGCCATCATGACAGGAAAGGGCAGGCCTCCAGGAGCCAAGAGCATCTTCATGGCAAGGCAGGTTGTTATAGGAATATAAGATTCCAGAAAAAGGTGTCATAGAGTCCAAAGGGCTGAGTGAACCATTGTGGGCCCGGTAAATAGATGGAAAGGGCACAAGTCACAGCCATTTGTTGTAAATTTTTTGAGATAGAAAAATAATTAAACAAGTAAGCAACACTGGTACAGCAGAAGGAGCAATAGGCTTGGAGTACAAATCTCATAGCATTTGTTAGGTACGTAGAGTGTACTAGTCTTTGGCTAGTAAGCATTTACACAGTTTTCTCTCTCACATAAAGGGACCTGGTTTTGATTCCTGGTATGATCCTTCATCTCTCTCTGTGTGGGGAATAAATCCAAACACAATTTTTCTCATCTGCAGAATATAGATGGATGGTGGTATTGTCTATGTCAAAAGATATATAACCATTATGTATGCAAATATAAGAGCAAATGCATAGCATTCAGTCCAGGCACATTTTCTCTCTTTCCTTAAACCAGTGGTTCTCTGTCTTAAAATTTAGAATTACTGAGGGCACTTTTTAAAAACTACTAATGCTGGGGCAACATTCCTGACCAATTAAAACAATCGCTGGAAGGTGGGACCCAGGCTTCATTTTTTCTTTCCTTTATTTTTTATTTAAATCATTCTTTTTTTATTTTTCAGTTACAGTTGACATACATTATTGTTAGTTTCAGGTGTACAAGCCAGTGATTAGACATAACTTACTTAGTGATCATCCTGATAAATCTCACCCCCATCTGACAACCTACATGATTATAATACTACTTTACATCCCCATGACTACTCTGTAACTACCGATTTATATTTCTAATCCCTTCACCTTTTTCACTCGTGTCTCCAACCCCCCCTCCCATCTAGCAACTGTCAAAATGTTCTCTGTATTTATGAGTCTGTTTTTGTTGTTTGTTGGTTTATTTTGGGTTTTAGATTCAATTGGTGATATGTATTTATTGCCATTTTATAACATTTTTCATCTTTTCTTCTTCTAGAAGACCCTTTAACATTTCATGTAATACTGGTTTGGTGGTGATGAACTCCTTAAGTTTTTTCTTGTTGGGGAAGCTCTTTGTCTGTCCTTTGAGTCTAAACAATAGCTTTTCTGAGTAGAGTAATGTTGGTTGTAAGTCCTTACTTTTAGTCACATTGACTATTCTTCAAATCCCTTCTGACCTGCAAAGTTTCTGTTGAGAAATCAGCTGACAGTCTTATGGAAGCTCCCTTGTGGGTAACTAACTGCTTTTCTCTTGCTGCTCTTAAGATTCTCCCTGTCTTTAAGCTTTTGCATTTTAATTATGATGTGTTTTGGTGTGGGCCTCTTTGAATTCATCTCGTTTAGTACTCTCTGTGCTTCCTGGACTTGTAAGTTTATTTCCTTCACCAAGTTAGGCAAGTTTTCTCTTATTATTTATTCAAATAGGTTTTCAATTTCTTGCTTTCTCCTCCTTCCAGTACCCCATGATGTGAATGCTGGTATGCTTGAATTTGTCCCAGAGGCTCTTTACACTATCCTCATTTTTTTTTTTTTAATTCTTTTCTCTATTTGCTGTTCTGATTGGGTGTCTTTTGCTTCCTTATCTTCCAAATCTCTGATTTGATCATCAGCTTCATCTATTCCACTGTTGATTCCCTGCAATGACTCTTCATTTCAGTTAATGTATTCTCCATTTCTGACTGGTTCTTTATGTTTTCCATCTCCGTTTTCATGTCTTCTACCTCTTTGTTAAAGTTCACACTGAGTTCATCTACTCTTCCCCTAAGTTCATTGAGCACCCTTATAACCAGTGTTTGGAACTCTGCATCTATTAGATTGCTTGTCTCTGTTTTGTTTAGTTCTTTTTCTGGAGTTTTGTTCTGTTTTTTCATTTGAGACATGTTTCTTTGTCTCCTCATTTTGGCAGGCTCCTTGTGTATGTTTCTATATATTAAGTAGAGCTGCTACATCTCCCAGGCTTGGTAAAGTAATCTAATGTAGTAGGTGTTTTGTAGGGTCCAGAGGCACAGCCCCCCACAATCATCCAAGCCAGGCACTCAAGATATGTCCTTCTGTGGGCTTTGTACACCCTCCTCTTGTAGTGGAGCCTTGATTGCTGTTGGCATGTCAGTGCGAGGGATTTGGCCCCAGGGTGATCAGCTACAAGAACTGGCTGCAAACACTGACCTTCAGCCACTGTGGAGGATCAGCTGTGCTTGGGCCCACCCCACAAAGCAGGACTTATCAGCAGGGCTCTGGTGCCCACTGAGTCTGCCCCTTGAGAGTGTCACTTCTGGAGGTGGTTGGATGGTAGTCCTTCAACATGGTCTGACACTATCCACTGGGTACACTGGCTCTGGGGCCTCGTGAGAGATGCAGGCCAAATTCAGCCACTGCCTGTGTTCTGCCCAGCGCCACCTAGCATGAGCTACAAAGTGATCTGCAGATGGTTGCTACTTGTGCTGGGCTTAGAGATGCCCAGGCAAAGCGAGGCTGCAAACCAAGGCTGGCTGCTACTAGTGATGGGCCTGGGGCCACTTAGCAAGAGGTATGGGTCTTGCTCAGGCCAGATGCTGCTTGTTTGAGAAATTTTAGGAAAATATGAAACAAGACAGGACATTTGTATGGAAAAGCCACTGGAAACAGCTTGGGTGGGCCCAAAAATTGCATGGGGCAGGACCTCAGGGAATCACCAGGGCAAGGCAAATGGTGTGAACCAGGTTGCAGGAGACTTAAACATGGCACCTATCTGTGAGCTCTGTAGGTGGAGGGCTCATCAAAAGAACAGTGGCCTCTGCCAGCACTTCTGTCTGGAAGAAAGCTTCCCTGCTACTCCCCACTATTGCCCTGTACAGGAAAATTCAGCTCCTCCCCTTATGTTTCTGGTGCCTTTCAAGCTGCTTCCTCAGTGCTGGAGCCCAGAGGGAGTGAATCTGAGTAAGTCCATGTATGGGCCCTTTAAGAAGAACTTCCTGGGGTGCCAGAAGCCCTCCATCTCCCTCAGCCTCAATCCTCACTGGTCTTTACAGCCAGGAGTTATGGGGACTTCTCTTCCTGGCACTGGAACCCTGGACTGAGGGGCCTGGTGTGGGGCTGGGAACCCTTGCTCCTAAGGGGTAACCTCGGCAGCCAAGATACCCCTCCCAATTTTTATCTGCCACACCAGGGCATGGAACCAGCCCATTCCACACCTCTGCCCCTCCTACCAGTCTGGATGTGGCTCCTTCTTTAATTCCCTAGTTGTAGGACTTCCGTTCAGCAACATTTCCTGTGGTTCTGAATGATAGTTGTTCTATGGTTTAGTTGTAATTTTGATGTGCCTTTTTTTTTTTTCAACTTCCTAGGGAACATAATATGCTTTAAACAGTGTAGGAGTTACAACTCATTCATTTGTTCATTAAGTATTAATTCACTTCAACTTCAAGGACTGTAGGCTTGATCTACAATAAGGAGTTAAGAACTGTGCCTACGCAGATGTTTGGACTGAATTTCTATGTCCCCAAAAATTCGTGTTGAAATCCTAACCACCAATGTGATGGTATAAAGAGATAGGACCTTTGGAAGGTGTTTAGGTCATGAGGGTAGAAACAGGATTAGTGTCCTTACAGAAGAGACCCCAGAGAGCTCTCTTGCCCCTTCTGCCACAAGGACACAGAAAGGTGACCGTCTCTATCATGCCCACAACTTGACCTTTGAGTTCCAATCTCCAGAATTGTGGGAAACAAATGTTATTAAGCCATCCAGACTGTGGTATTCTGCTATATCAGCTCCAATGAGATTAATAAGACACCAGCTATGGTTGAGTCATAGTCATTTCTAACTTTTCTCCCTCTTTAGGACTACTTCCCAGCACCCCAGCTTCCTGCCATGTCTGACCCCATCACACTAAATGTTGGGGGAAAGCTCTACACAACCTCACTAGCAACCTTGACCAGCTTCCCCGACTCCATGCTAGGTGCCATGTTCAGTGGGAAGATGCCCACCAAGAGGGACAGCCAAGGCAACTGTTTCATTGACCGTGACGGCAAAGTGTTCCGCTATATCCTCAACTTTCTACGGACCTCCCACCTGGACTTACCTGATGACTTCCAGGAGATGGGTCTGCTCCGCAGGGAGGCTGACTTCTACCAGGTGCAGCCCCTGATTGAGGCACTACAGGAGAAGGAGGTGGAGCTCTCTAAGGCAGAGAAGAATGCCATGCTCAACATCACACTGAACCAGCGTGTGCAGACAGTCCACTTCACTGTGCGTGAGGCACCCCAGATCTATAGCCTCTCCTCCTCCAGCATGGAGGTCTTCAATGCCAACATCTTCAGCACCTCCTGCCTCTTCCTCAAGCTCCTCGGCTCCAAGCTCTTCTACTGCTCTAATGGCAATCTCTCCTCCATCACCAGCCACTTGCAAGACCCTAACCACCTGACTCTGGACTGGGTGGCCAATGTGGAGGGCCTCCCAGAGGAAGAGTACACCAAGCAGAACCTCAAGAGGCTCTGGGTGGTACCAGCCAACAAGCAGATCAACAGCTTCCAGGTCTTTGTGGAGGAGGTGCTGAAAATTGCTCTAAGTGATGGCTTCTGCATCGATTCTTCTCACCCACATGCTCTGGATTTTAAGAACAATAAGATTATTCGATTAATACGGTACAGGTAAAAGAACCCCAAGCCACATTGGAGGGAGGCTCCCAAGAAGCTCCACATCAGCCAAGATCTTAAAGAGTGTCTCACCAGTGGTGTGAGGCAGGGCACTCTACTAATCTGTATTAATCGCGTAGCAGGACTTGATTTCCCCCATGATGCAGTCCACCTGTAGGAATCCATGTGTCCTCTCAGCAGGGCCTCCTTTTTTCTTGCCATTTAGAGCTGGAGATGGGCAGTCTGTTCAAAGTGGAGAGTCTGCCCATGTGTCCTAAAGGAGACCACCAGAGGGCTTTCTGGCTAGACAGGGGAGCAGCATTTCTGTCATTGACTCCATCTCTCTCTGTACCACTAGGCAGTGCCTCACTCACCCATCTGAATAAGAGCCCCTGATGGAGGGGAGAAAATGAGAACAAGATGCTCCCTTCAGTTTCCCAGGATGGAACGTACCCAGAGATCCCCATCACCCCTGCTCCTTTGTCTGGAGGATGCAGCCAGGACCTTGGACTTGTTTGCCCAAGGGTAACCATGTTTGACTGGCTTGGAAAAGCATTATGTTCTCAAAGCTGTATCGGTCCCTGCTGGGGGAGAGATCTGAGCTGTGGCATGGCCTAAAGGAGTGCGCATCCAAGCCGGCTTCAGAAGATGGGGATGTTCCTTTTGACTGTGTCATCTTGAGGCATTTCGGGATTTTTGGTTTCAGAAATGGGCTGCTGTTCCTGTGAAGGCTTGAAAATTTGGAGTCAGTGCAATGAAAGGCACCTCATACTGGGACCTGTTATCTGACTTTTGTAATCCTTACCACAAGAGTTTAAGGTATCATTTAAACAAGTCATTTTAAAGAAATATATTATGGACTCTCCAGGTTGAAAAGTAATTCAACGGTTGCTTAGTCCTCCCTCATGCCAGCATACTCCAGCACATTTGGGGATGAGTTTCTCTCCCCAGTACCTCCAAGCAATCACCTATCTCTGCTTGCATACCTCCAGTGATGGGAAGATCATCATCCCTGAAATAGCCCGCCATGGTTGGCCGGTACTGGCTATTAGAAAGTTCTTACACTGAGCCAAAATCTCTCCTTCCACTCCCATTTTCTGGTCTTGGTTCTATTTTCTGGTCTAATTCTCACCTAAATATGTATTTCTCTTTCAAAATAGTCACCTTGAGGGACACTCATTCTGAAAATATTAGCAGGATTCCCCTTTGGGATCTGTCTTCAAGACCAAGGTTGGCCCTCTTCCATCCCCTGAAAGTCAACCCTATTTTGTTAGGACTTTGCCTCCTTCGTGACCCCCATTTTACCCACCTTCCTCACCAGCCACAACTCCAGATACCCTGTGACCATCTTCTATTGGAGAGTGGAGATTTGCCACCCCTGAGGAAGTGCTGCCAGACCAGGGGCTCAGAAAGCAGTACACAGCTAGGAACCTGAGTGGTCTGAACCATAACACCACCCTTGGACTAAGTGTCCAGCGTCTAAGACACTGTTCTGAAGGCGGTGGCCTTCCCTGTAGTACTGTTTCTGGTCATAACCAAACCTTGGACCTCCTTGGTGTGAGATCCAGGGCAAGACACCCGAGCCACTGCTTCCCCAGGGGTGATGAGCAAGTGCAGGCTTCAAAACTGTACGTTATGATTCATCCCTAGTGTGAGCATGGCCTTGGGAGTCTCGGAGTCTTTCCCACTGGGTAGGAGACATCAGACAAAGCCAGGAAAGCCTGCTGGCACAAGCGCCCAAGAGAGATGGGCTGAGGAAGGGTCTTCCCATAGCTGTGCTCTGTGAGTTGGGAGCTTGTACACCAGGCTGTGGACAAGGCCCCATCCCGTAAGTAATACAGGCCTTTTCCTCCCACAGTGGGACTCTAGAGTGACAGCTGCCCCAGGCCACAAGGCCAGTGGTACTCAAATAGAAGCTATGGCCACAAAACAGTTTAAGGAAGAATCTTATAAATTACCACTGCCCTTTTTGTCCTCTCCATAAAAATTCTTTTTCTCCCATCTTTTCGGTGCTTCTTAATTCAAGCAGCTTGACTTCAGAGAAAGTACAGGACCTATGAAGCTACTAATGTGCTGTGTGACTTTATGCAAGTCACTCACCTCACTGAGCCACTTTTTCTTCATCTGTGAAATGAACGTAACAGTAATACATAACCCTACCTACCTCACAGGGCTGTTGTGAGGATCAAATGAAATAATGTATGTGACAATACCATATAAATGATAAATGGTGGTTATTTTGTTTCTGCTTTTAAGAGAGAAAACCCTGGCCTTGGAGTCAGACTAACCTGGGTTTGAATTCCGCCTTCATCACTGCTATGGAACCTTTGACAAGTCACTGGTCCTTTTGTTTCCTCATCTGATAACAACCACACCTCCTAGGTTTACACAACTTAAATGAAATGCATGTGAAAATTCCTAACTAAGCCTGGAGCACAGGAGCTCTATATATGTTTGCTCTTTCAGGAGGTAATAATGATGGACTCTTGGGCAGGGGACACCACTTTAACAAGCCCTTCTGGAGTATGTGGTGTGTGAGCCCTGAGGATGGAAACGGCCACAAACAAAAAGCCTACAGGTTCACACCATGTCCTAAGGGAACTTGGGGAAAGGTTAATTCTCAGAAGGCTTAGTGGATGGCACAGCTGGGCCTTTGAGGGTAGGCTGGAGAGGCCCAGGAGCAGGCAGGGCAGTTGATACAGGAAAGGTGTGCCTTCATAGAGAGCCACAGCACATTCGCTATGCACACATCGCACTTAGGTGAGGGCAGCCATCTGCTTAGCAAAACGGAGAGAACACTGGGCCATGCAGGCAGCACCATCCCAGAGGACCAGTGAGTTGGAGTGAGTGTAGGCTGGCAGGTAGTGAGTGCTGTTGCTTGTTAGCCACACCGCCCTGAGCGAGACCCGGTGCTGATGAGTAATCTCAACCAGACTCAATTTAGCCTTGTGCACAGCTGAGAATTTTGTCCCAAGTGAAGGCCAATTGCAGGTGCACAACAGTTTGTGAGGTCACTGTTCCTGCCCTAGGTATGGTCCCAGGCTTGCAAAGAGACAGTCAGAAAGGGTGTTCAAGGGGACCTAAGGCACCTTGGTGTGACCACTTTGTGAGGGCTGCCACCAAAGCCAGCAGTGGCCACCACTTCAGGCACTGACTGCTCCCTGTAACCTCATACCCTCAGGACCATGTGAAGCCCTTTGCCTTTTAATAAAGGGCAAGCCCTGTGACCCTCTGTTCTGCCTTTGAGCCAGAGTTCCCTATGCAGAGGAGTCCCCACCCTGGTCCAGGCCTCAATGCCCAACACAGCCCTAAGGGCCAGGATGTGATGACTCTGGTTTTTAGGTGGCCAGGTGGCCTACAACATAGCACTTGGATAATTGCCCCTTTGTTCACCCCGAACTTGCAGCTCTTTCTACAAATTACCCCTAAAACAGGCTACTGCGAGTAGGAGGTTGGCCGAGGTCTGCCTTAGACCAATTTCTTAGCTCACATGGTCAGGGTACCAGCCCATCCCTTCCCTGAGCTGCAGTCTCTTCACGCTGACTGCCTGTGTCTGCCTGTGTCCCAAAGAGCTCAGGGCTGATGGGGACAGCTGCCCTGGAAATGAGGCCCCATGACCGTCTGCAGAGCAAAACAACCTTGATAATAGGCCCACTGCAGGGAAGGGGCCAGGCTTGTTTCCAGGCCCCATGGAGCCCTAGGTCTGGCAGCTCTGTCTGCCTAAGCAGCCCAATGACCTCAGTCTCCTTCAAAACCTTCAGGACAGTGTGGCACCAAGCAGAGCTGTGGAGACAGTCTGGTGACATGCTCACCCCAGTATGGGGCACAAGGTCCAAGAAGACCCTGAGGAAGTAAAGTTGGCCCATGGAAGCGAGAGGATCATTGAGCAACTCATAGCGACCAGGACCCCACAAGACACAAAAGACAACAAAACAAGGTGTGAGCCCTACTGTCTGGCTCTGACTTCCGGGCAGGAAGTGCATGCCTAGCCAGGTGTCCCTGACCCTCACTGTCCTGTCTCCAGGTCCTAGTTCCTGCCCACTTCCCTGGCCTGCCTGCCCCAAAGTACAGGGCATTGCAAAGCCTTTGTCAACATTTCCCAGTTAGCTGGCAGCCCTAGAGTGTTCTAAACTATTCTTATGCCAGGCCTCTCCCCTTTTACAGAGGTGTTGGGTAAAGGCCTAATTGAGGCACATGTGAAATCCTCTAAGGATCCTGCCAGCCAAAGACAAAGGTTAATGTGTTGTGACATGGGTACTCCCTCCCCAACCCCAATGAGTTCTTTACTGACCCAATAAACCCACTTTATAAACCCAATATTGGATTTGCTAAATACACACCCCTTTACCTGGCACATCATAGGTTTCCAAGCTCCTTCACATCCAGTTTCCTCTCAGCAAACCATAGAATATGCCATGCCATTCCACACCTCTGGTGGGCTGCCCTTTACTACTTTGTCTTCATAGCAAACATCTGCTCATCCTTCCACCCTGCTTGAGCCTTGCCTCCTTAGCTCACCAAGTCGAGTTAGTCCCAAGCCCTTTTGTGCCACCTGGTACCTGGAAGGTCATTTATCATAATGCAGTTGTTCATAAGTAATGCAGTGCTGGTAAATGTTGGGTTGGTCAAAAAGTCTGTATAGTTTTTGGCCAACCCAATACTTTCTTGAACTGTAGGAAAAATTTTGAGCAAAACGTTTGAGCAGGAAAGAGTCTGAGAAGAGGAGACATCATGGGAGGTAAAAATGTCTTCATAAGTGCCCTCAGACATAATGAGCACCTTCCATGTGGCAGGCACTGGCACTACAAGGAGCAAGACACCCTTGCCCTTGCAAGCCTGCAGTTCAGGGGGAGGCATGTCCATACAATAAAAGACACACTTTTAATTTTCACCAATAACTTCATTGATTTGGATATTTTGAGTATGTCAGGTATCTCCCATGTGGTATAACATGGATTTTTCTCAATGTCTTGATTTGACTGCTGTCAATGTCAACTGGTCTCCCCAACTGTGGGGCATCATCTAGCAAGAAATCTCCAGCACAAAACCACTTTTGACACATTTGATCAGTCACAGCACCCTCTCCACACACTGCACAGCTCTCTTTTTGCATTTCAGTTGCATTTTTATCTTTCTTGAAATAATAAAGCATAGTATACTGAAAATGTTGCTTATTTTCTTCTATCTTTAATATTAAAATGACTACACAAAAATTCATCGATCTTGGTAAGTTTTTAAAAAATGTACACTAATATGACAGCTGTCAAAATACAATCTAACAAAATTATTTCAAATGAAGTTAAAGACAAGCACTACCAGAGCCATCGAATGGAAAAAAAAACAAACATTTTTTTGGCCAACCCAATATTTAACAACAAGCTCTCTTGGGTGGAAAGCCCCAATTTGCAGCATTGGTCAATTTCTACAGTATAAATACTCTCATCATGGTCAATTCCAAGCTACCAATGTGATGTCACTGTTCATGTAGGAAGAGAGACTTTCTTGGTCTTCCAGTGCCCATCTGGTTAGCACTCCATGGGTCTCAGAATCAGATTTCATCACATGTTCTGTTTATTCATATACTCTGTTAAGCACCTGCCATATGCCAACCCCAGGGATGGGCTCTGGGTAATCAAAGATGAACCTTGTACATTCCTCCTCCTTTGGGAAATGTGGTGGGAGAGAGACAAGTAAACAAGTTCCAAATGGTGAACAGTGCTAAGGTGGAGTGGACCGCAAAGATGGGATAGCCAGCTTTGGCAATGACTTCTGGATGTACATAGCACTTTACAAACCACTTTGCTTTCTTTTTACTCATTTAATCCACACAACAAGCAGCTCACAGGGGCTCTTTTTTCTTTTTTTAATAGATGAGGACACAGGTTCAGAGAAGAGAAATTATTTTCTTGTGACCATACTGTATGTAAGCACAATTCCTAGCATGTAGTGGGCCTTTGGCCAATATTTATGAAATTGAATTAAATGTCATTTAATTTAAGTGGCCAAGTTGAGACGAGAACCCACCCTGAATCCTTCTTCAGGATCATTTCCACTCCACTCTGAGGCCAAGGGCAGAAGCAGGTTTCCAAGTGCCAGGCCTCTGATCCAGGCTTTTCCAGTGAAGTTCCAGGTGACGTCAAGCAAATCATTCACAGCCTGAAACCTTCCTTGGCAAAACAGCAAGGTAGAACTCAACTCTACCTTACTATTTTCTTGCTACTTTTTAAGTCTCTTCTAGCCAAAGCTGGAAGGAAAAATGAGCTTCTTCCTTCCTGCTCTGCTTGCACCTAGAGGTGCAAAAATCCTGGGATTTTTGTATTTTCCAGCATGAAACACTGCTTGTTAAGTGTTGCTGGGGCTGAAACAACCAGACAAAGTGGAGTCAGTCAGATCATGTCACACCACTGACACTCCCAGGTGAAATCAGAAAGCTTTTGTGAAAATGAGGCTCATTCCACTGAAATGTGGTGCCTCCCACCTACCTCCTTAGAAGAGGAGGCAGGTTAGACAAGCTGAACACCCCCACACATGGCCCCGCCCACCATCGTTCCTGAGCAGGGACAGGGACTCCCTTATTGGGGTGCTGCAAGAGAGAGAACTGTCAGAATGTAATTTGGCAGAGAATCTGAGAATGTTGTGCTAGAGGGAAACTTGTCACTGTCCATTGAAGTGAAGAGGAAAGAGAACTGGCTTTGAGTCAAGCAGACCAGGTCTAAATCCTGGCTCTGCACTGTGACCTTGGCAAGCATCATTGCCTTTTTCTTTCTTATTTAATCTTTATTATATTTTTTCCATTACCATTTAGTCTCTTTATATCCTCTCCCCCTCCGCAGCAGTCACCAACTATTGCCTTTTTCAATGACTTCACCTATGAAGTGGTGATAAAAATACCTGCATCACCTAGTTCAGATGGTAATTTAAGGATTAAGTGAGAAAATGCATGGCTCCCTCCTCTCTGCTCTCTATACTCCTTGCTCTCCATACCTCTCACGTCCCTATATCCCCTACCTGATTAAAATAAGATGTGCCCTGGCTGGGTGGCCCGGTTAGTTGGAGCATCGTCGCATGCATCAAAAGTTGCAGATTCAATTTCTGGTCAGGGTACATACCTAGGTTGTGGGTTCGATCTTCAGTTGGAATGTATATGGCAGGCAGCCAATTGATGTTTGTCTCTCACATCGATGTTTCTCTCTCTGTCTC